GTGCCTCAGCCGCGAGTTCATCTCCAGGGACGGTGGGCGGTGATAGCCGGGGACGTGCCGCGCCGCGGGGCCGCCGGGCGCCACCGCCGCCTGGGCCCCCGGAGGAGCCACTGCACCGGCGGGCGGACGGCGGGCCCCGCGGAGGGACGGCGGAGGCGGGCGGGAGCAGCGCTGCCTCGGCCCCGAGCCGGTAATAGTGTCCTCAGCCGGAGAGGGCTTAAGGGAACGCAGAGGGTTTACGGGCCCGGAGAGGAGCGAGGCGATGGCTCTCGATTTCCTTGCAGACCTCTGGAGTAGTGAGCCTTTCCCGAGGCCCCGCAGCGGCGCGTGCGTTTACGGGCGCCAAGGTGCGGGTGTTGAATGAAGGTTGGAGGCCGGAGCCTGCCCGGCGCTGCTGGAGGGACCGGTTACACCCCAGGCACCGGCGCGGGGTCGGGAACCGAGGACTCCGGTTTGTACCCGCGGTAGCGCTGCCGGCCCGACGGCAATTCCACATCAAGGCGTGTTGATAACAAAAATCATTTTAGGTCTTTAATTAAACGTGTCATGCTCTAAGATGTTTGAATTTCTTCTAGTAGACGTCAAAGGGGAGGGCTATGTAGAATTTTAGTTAATTGTTTTTACAGAGCTCTTCTGTTTTAAGGCTTTTAAGTACCTTGTTATCTGAGGGGGGGCAAGATACAGTCAAAGCAGATAGCAAAACCTTGAAAAAGTCCTTTAACAGACATTTCACTTTAGGAAACACTGCATTTTGTTAATTTAACATTTGGGTTTGATTCCTCAATTTAATCATAGATTGTTTTGGTTTGATGTTTTTTTGGTTTTAAATTTGTAAGGAGATCAAGCAGAAGAAAGCTGATGATGGGTTGAGAAATTTTGTAAGAATGTTATTTGCGTGTAACGTAGAAAATCCTCCTCCTGTTCATAATCCTTCTCTTGCTAGGTTCCATTTGGCAAATACCTACACACCTGCACATGCCTCTGACAGCTTCTCCATCTTATTTTTTATTTGAGCATTTACTTAATGCCTGTGAGATGTGGCTGACTGTAGCTGAAATGATGTTTAGAGGCTATTGAAGCAGTGGGATGCCAGAATATGTCAACTGACAAAACCAAAAATTCAGTGAAGGTGTGCACAGACAAAGCTGGGCCATAAGTCCATCCTGGCTCTGGGTTGCAGTTGGCAGCCAGTCGATGGCACTGAAACTGGGGCAGAACACCAGCTGCAGTACAGCCAGACAATATAAAAGTCTGCCCTCCCTCTCCTTTTCTGTCTTGTGACCAAATAGACAAGCAAATCGGGACATGTTGTAACTCTAGCCTCCTTTCTCGTTTAATCATTATTGCTCATCAGTGATTGCCATCTTAGGCAGTGGAAGCATAAGGTTCACTAATGTGCCTGTTTCCTGGTAGAAGGCATTTTGAACCTAAAATCATGACATTCACTATGTATTTGTTTGCCTTTTGCGCTCACCTATTTTACTGTGTATAACCTTGTTAGAAATGGGCTTTGCCTAAAAGCTGCTTTACTTTTGAAATATTAATAAACTACTGAGATTTTTTTCAAGATTTAACGTCCAGTGAGCTTGATGGCTGATCAGAAAGATTTCAGGTCCATTATGTCAGATCCTTCCAGCATAAAGGCATTTTAGGTAGAAAATATTCATGTACCAATAATGAACAGCATCATTCTCAAATCAGTTGTCATACCAGCACATATACAAAACTAGTCCACCATTATTTCACAATTGAATTTGGCTTACATGCTATCCTCTGAGTTTGAGATGATTATACTAAGTCAGTTCTTAGTTTAATTTATATGTGTCTGGTAAAAGCTTTGTCCCCATGCAGATGTAGCGTCTACTACATCGAACAAATTTTTACAACCTCAAGTATCAAAAACTTAAAGAGTTTTCACTGAGCATGCCTACCTCTTAAACTGGCTTATTTCAAAATGACATTCTAAAGCTTTCAGATCCTCTAGCTCATATAATATGAACGAATAGGCAGACTGAACAAATAATATAAAAAGTCAATAGATTATTTACTGTATAGTTTTCTAAGTATTGTGTCTAAAATGTGAATAAATGTCAAATCTAGGAAATGCAGGTTTATGATTGTAGCACCATTATATAGATTGACTAAAAGAAAATAAAAATACAGCCACCTTCATACAAAACAGTATTCCAACAAATCAAAGCAGATCAGAAAACTAGGTTACAGCTCATATTAACAACTGGAAATGTTCTAGTTCCAACAGACACATAATGGATTACATGTCTTATGCAAACTGAAATTATGGTTCTAATTCTGCAGCTTTTAATTACATTAATAGTCTTCACACATGTAATTTCTCACCGAACTGCATAGGGATGGCAGTAATGAGTAATGATTCAGACCACTCCCTCTAGGACCCAGACGTCAAATGTGTATTTATATATAAAGTTACACATGCAATTAGCATATTCGATTAAGTTACTAAGGGAGTATCATGTTTGATGTGTCTGGTACTCCACAGTCATTTTATACGGTATAAATAGTTAAATATTTTCCTTTGTCTTCTCATGTCTGCCTCTCTTACTTGTTTTTTCCCCAAGGTTTATGCTATTTATATAGATTCTTCCAGATCATGCAAGGGACTTGCATTTGAATTTTTTTTTTCTCAAGACAATTGCACATGGCTGTATGACCTGATGTTTACTATTCTTACAAAAACCCCATGAATTTTGAAGTCATGTCTTAGGCTGTGTAATTTCTTAATGCTGTGACCATCAATGAGTTCAACTGATTATCTTCTTTGAATATTTGTGTGCGAGAGACAGACTTGACTGATCATAGACTTTAGTGTTTTTTTTAATGCATAATGGAAAACTGATCAAAATAACAGACCACATATTTGTACTATGATTGTGACTTCCATTTCTGTGCACTTGAATTAGAACAAGCTTTTTGAGGATTTCTTAAGTTTGTTCAATTTGGTGGAGATGTTATTAATAAGTATGTGATAGATAATGTTATGCAATACAGTGTAAATAAAAGAAAATATACAGTTCAATCCAAATAAAACAAATGAAAAGAGACCACCTGACCCTGTGGAGGCTCAGGAAGTCGATTTCTAACACTTAAGAAAACCACAGTAAATATTCTGACAAAATTACTGGAACTGAGCAATAAACATAATTGGTTTTGCTGACTAGCCTCTGTGGGCGACAGATTTTCAGAGATGTAATTTTATTTGTATTTGCCTACAAAGTCACATTGCTTCCCGCGTGAAATGCCTGTGCTTTGCTGGATGAGAAGATGCAGAAGAGCCTTTGTGCTGGTTAAATGCCACGTGATGTTTCTTCTTTCCACAGGTTTAATCAGTGGTAGCCGATTAAACCACATTTCCAGCTGCATCACAGTACTGCATCAGCAGGCTGTCAGGATGGATGGTGGGATCCAGCCTTCTGGGACCACCTTCTGCCAACGGCAAGTCCCTGGCAGCATGAAACAGAGAGAGAAAAGGGTTGTCTGTTGTAAAATTGCTGTCAATGAATAGCAAATAACAGTATTTTTACTCTTGCGCTGCATTGAGTTAATTAGAAAAGGTATGGGCAGATCCACTCAGGGATATTTTATATTCTTTTTCCCACTGGGTATAGGATCCTACCTTCTTATAGAGATTGCTACTTTCATATAGAGAAGCTACAGTTTAAAGTTGTCATGTTATTATATTTAACAGAAAGCATAGTTTGCTAACATAAGATGAAGACATCTTTACTACATGCATCCATGTCTGCTTTTCTTGTCCAACCCTCAACACATGCAGATAATTTTATATGAAAAACATTATTTTCTAATCCCACTTTTATTGTATGCTTAGTGTAGCAAACACTGCTCACGTGTAGACCACTATTTTGTCCAGATCTCTTCCTGCATTAACAGACTTACATAATCGTATTGGGAGAAAGCACTTAGAGATCTGTAATCCACTGGTCTTACTGAATGACTTTTTACATAATGAATATCTGTGAAGGGTAAATATGTTGACTAGGAGTTCCATTAGCACTTCAGTAGAAGGTATTTCTGGAAAACGTATGTGAACAACACAAACCTTATAAGAGAATGAAAAGAAAGCCCATAACCAATCCTTTCAGACCACAAACAATAAGCATGTGTTTAATTTTTAATCTGAAAGCTAATGACATCAGTCATTTAGTCTGTTTTTAAATAATTGCATTCATGTAAAAACATTTTTGTATTTCCATGAAGAATTTTGAAACTAATTTCATATTCATAATGCTGGAGTTTGATGTTACATTGTTTGCAACATAAGGAGAATCACTTTAATTATAGTTCTGTGTTCGTTTGTAAACAGCGTAGATGGGTTTTATGCTGACTGACTGGAAGTCCTGGAATACAATTACAATTTGGTGCATTTAACAGATGCAGTTCTGGTAGTTCAATGTAACTGTTGATTGTTGTTGCTATCAATATCACAGGACCAAATTTCACACTCCTTAGGTTGTGTATGTCTTTTGCTAAATCAAATTCAAGGTTTGCTGGCTGCAAGGGGGCCAAGTTTGGGGCTAATAGTGAGTCCAGTCTAAGAAACTTTCTCGTTTTCAGTTGCCCAAGCCAATGGGTCTGCACTTTACTCACCAGCACTGAACAAGCAGTGCTGAAGGCAATGTCATCCCTGCTATCCTAAATGTTACTGTACCTGTTTCGTAAGGCAGAGATTTCTTGATTTCTCAGACTGCCAATTCCCTTGCAGTAGAAATTAAGATGTATCATTATATTCAACTTTGGGAGTTTGAGAAGGGTGCATTTATGTAAAGAAAACTATAATGAGGGGGCTTAGCATGTTACTTCTATTCCTGTGGTTGAAATAGGAACTTTTTGTTTAGAAAAGCTTACTGACAAGCTGTATTAATATTCCAGTTTTTGTTTTGTTTTAATTACTGCTGCAAGCCAACCAGTAAGTTACAAGAATGTACTTTATTTTAAGTTAAATAAATAGTGACTGTAACAAGTTTGAATTATTCAAAGTGTAGAAAATACCACCCATGCACAGGCAAAACCAGTGTAATTCAAGTACGGAATAAGATTTTAGTATACAGCAAATTTAATGTGTATCCTGTGAATAAAGACAAAAGAACTGTAAGTAGAACAACACTGAAATTAAGCAATGACCATCCTCTTTTGTACTGAAAACACAATGACATTCTCATTCACTCATCAGCATGAGAGTATTTGCCTTTTCATCATGCTATTTAAATACAGCGTATTTGGAAGTTTGACTTCCCATTTTCCACTTACAAAAATAGCATTTCTGGTCTCCTTTCAGTTGCATTCCAGCGGGGAAAGAAAATGAAGACTGCAAATCTACAACATCTCTTTATTTCTTAATTTAAAAGAGGCATCAGTACTTTAGGGCAACGATGGTTTCATCTTGTTTTGATTTTGTGCGCTGTCGTGCCTGGACTCTGTCACGATGAGCGTACACTCATATCAAGCATAGGAGACGAATGGCAGCAACGTTATCCATTTAGCTGGTGGTCATCCTCTGTTAGAATTCTACTTATCTATTAATTTTAGATCACCTAAATATAAGATGATACAGATTTCTAGGAATAAACTAGTAAATCTGCAGCCAGCTTTATCTTAAGATTTGAAAATGCATTATTTTTCCAAGGTCCAGTCCTTTAAATACTAATGGTGTGTACATTCATAACGAAGCAAGACTTAGATCATTAAAGGCTACTCGTATGAATTCTTTGAGTCCTGTATCCAAAAATCCAAATGAAAAAAAAAATAAATGCAATGGACTGAAAATTTACAATTTACTAAGTCACTGGGGCTTGCTTTTGAAGATTAACTATTCTTAAAAATTCTTCTATGCAACTAACCTTGGATAAACAGCACACCCACTTCAGCATACCAAGATACAAGATAATGATTGCTGTAGGTGTTACCATTTACTTATCCACCAGAAACCAGACTTGCGTTACTCGGGTTTTCAGAACATGTGGTTAAATGGTCCCATTTCAGAAGGAACATGGAGTTTTTGGAGTCCAGCCTGTTACCCACTTTCCTGTGTACTAAGTAGAGTGCAAAGAGTGAAAATAGCCACAAATCCTTAGTGACTAGCGGTAGCAATCCAAATATGTATATTCTCCTGCAGCTTTTGCTGTATTTTCCACAAATACGTTTACTCAATGTGATTGTGAAGGAGGTCTTTTCATTTAAATAAACACACAGCAATTATACCTTGTCTAGACGGACAGAAACAGTAGCACTGACAAATACAGGACTGCCTTTGTTAGAATGCTGCTGGGGATCTCTACGAACCTACAGTAACTACGTATAAAACACATCCTATGGAATGAGTGAAAGGAATGTGGAGTCGTCTCGTGTAACTGAATTCCAAGGAAAATGGAGCTAAATTGGATCAATGTGCAGGACTCGTTATCCTTCAACTTAACGATAGTCTACAGCCTTTCATTCAGGCCCCCACTTTCTGTTTTTCCTCACATGCAGAATTTTTTTTTCTCACTTAAGTGACCAGGTTCAAATTTGTCACACACTTTTTCTGCCCAAACTCAGTTCTCTTAAGTTTTAAAGAATAAGCTGTTTGCTGCAGTTTTTCAAAGTATGTTTAGTTCTTAACTCAAAAATTTTAGCTGTTTATCAGTGCTGTGAGCATAATTTTATCTAACAAGCATGAAGACTATTGCCCAGTAACTTCACAAAACACATCCAATGATTGTTACTTTTTGATAATGTGTCCATAATAATCAATGTAAAGGAATAGTAACTTATTAAAACCCCAGTATTACAGGGTATCTATGTTTGCCTGTGGAGTGCCTCACACAACTACAGCGCTATAAAGTATGTACCAAGCATTCTTGAACTGATAGGGTGTGTTCGCAGTAGTGGGAGACATTCCCCTAAGTTACACAGCAAATACCATAATACATAGGTCCTTTTACAAAACATTGTAGAGCTTTCTCTGCAAAGTTGGTGTCTGTCCCCGCAGACATTTTACATTTAAGTAGTGACAATGCTACAGGGAAGCAGTGGAGCATTTCATGCTACTTATCACCTCCCAAATTCGCAGCGTGCCAAATCAGACCAATCCTGCAAGCTTCCTGTCTCCCAAATGATTAATCAGACACAACTGAGATACATTTTTAGTTCTGTCTGGATTTCTGCAAAGAATTCATGAGCTTGCAGAAATGTGACTGTATATACACAGGCATCAATCCCTGCCTGTCAAGAGGACAGGGGATCTCTTTTTGGATTATTAGAAAGGTCTGCTTTAACACAACATCATTTTTGTGTGCCAAAATCTATTTTCAAAAATTACCACTCCTGCTGTGGGTAGATTCATTGCTCTTATTTTCATAGTTAATTGTGAAGTGCAAACTGCTTCTACAGAAAGAAAAATCTGAACCAGTGACAAGAATCAGTCTTTCTACACGGGAAGACAACATCGTGGATGTGGATGAAAACAATGAGGCTATATTTTTCTGAATATGCAACTCTCCCCTTTTTCTCTCTGGATTTGGAAAGTGATTAGTCATTCACATATGCTGTGCCAACCCATGCAACCGGGTTCTGTACTGGGGTCTAAATCAACAAACAGTATTTGGTAATCAAACACTGCTTGTTTTCTCCATCCTCCTCTCCACCCCCCCCACCCCCCCAAAAACCATTAACTTATCTAAAATAGAGGCTGTTTACATTCTTTTACTGGGGTTTTCATCCTTCCTCTTTTCTTCCACTGAAATAATATTTCGTGTGTTTGAAGAAAAAAAAAATTCTATTCACTTTGTCAAACACCCGTGTTAGCCTCCAAATTTGTTTTACTCTCAAATACTGTAAACAGCTACCAGCAGCAAACACCAAGGCCTACTTAAGAACAAAAAATACAGGCTTCTGAGAATAGTGATCTATTAATAGCAAACAAATCCCTGTTATAGCCAGTAGTGATAATACCCTGATACTTCATAGTTAACTGTTACAAGTCCAGCCAGTGAAGACACCCTATTCTGCAGGCTGATTTGCATCTCTTTTCTTCAGAAAGCAAAAGAAACAAACCATGTATTTTATGATATTGGGAGGCAAAAGTTTTGCTTTGTTTTTTCAAGCGCTAGGTTTAAATTCTCAGCTCATCCAAGTGACCCGTCCTGAAAAAAAAGGTGCAGGGCATGAAGCACTCTGAGGATGGGCTGGAGGGGGTCCCTCTTGTCACAGCCTGTACCACCCTAAGAGAGTTTTACCACGCACACGGCCAGAACAATGGCAATAATGAGCACCGCGGAGAAAATAATCCCAGCCAGGACCTTGCTGATATCGCAGAAGGATTTATTCTCCTCCACAGAGATCATGCCGATGGAAGAAGCGCCCACGCTGATGGTGGATTTGAGTTCAGCCCCTGGGTCCTGCTTAGCCTCCACTGTCCACTGGGGGACACTGACCTTCATTTCCATCTCGTACATCATCTCTCCTACCTGGTTGATTTCGTTCTCGAGGTCTTTCAAATCCACCACGTCAATATTGTGCTCAGCCTCATATTTCATGTTCTGGACGCTCATGGCCCTGGCGGCCACCCCAGAGGTTCCCCCGCTCATCCCTGTCTGGATCAGGTGCTTTTTGGGGACGTTTAGCGGGAACTCGTGGCCCAGCTCCAGGGCTCTCCTCATGTCGATCTCCAGGATCTCTAGGCACGTGGAGAAAATCACCCATAGCCTCTCGAACTCGGCTTTATCTTCCTTACTCACGGTTTTGTCCTTCAGGACGGTGGTAAGCTTGTTCCTGTTGGCTACGGCCAGCTCCTGGGCCTTCTGCCGGGTCTTCTTGAGCTCCTCCCGCAGGTTCTGGGAGTCCGAGGTGCCGCCGATGGTCAGCACCATGTGCCGGTAGCAGGCGGTCACCTTGTTGAGGGCGTCCAGCAGCGCCTTGCACTCCTCCTTCACCATGGTCCCGCCGCCGCCCCGCCGCCGGGCCACCCGCTATCCCCGCACATGGCAGGCGGCTCTTTCGGCCTCCATTCGCGCCCCCGCCGGCGGCTCAGGCGCCCCCGGGAGCGCAGGCGGGCGGCGGAGAGCCCCGGGGGGCCGGCAGCATCGCTCCCCGCCGGGGAGCAGGGGCGGCCCGCTCCGCGCCGCGCCGGACGGCAGCCAGGGCTCCCAGCCAGCGGGCGCCGCCTCTTGAAAAGTGCCAAACACCCGGGGGGAAAATTAAATACAAAATTAAAATAGGCTAAGGGTAAAGCTCCTGAGGCCGAGCGCCGGTCACCGGCCGCCTCTGCCCGCCGCCGGCGGGCCGGCCACCCGCGGAGTCGGACGGCGCCGGGCGGGGAGCGCCTCGGCCCGGCCCGGCCCTATAAGCCCTCACAGGCTCCGCCTCTCCAGGCCCCGACCCCGCGGCGGCTGCCCGGCTCCTCGCTCGCTCCCCGGCCATTGGCTTCGTGCGGCACCGCCGCCGCGCCGGGCCCGCCCTGGATCCCGGTAGGGCTCGGCTGAAGGCGCGGGGCGGGGGGGCAGGGGGCAGGCGGGCCGGGGCGGCGGGCAGCAAGGCGATGTTGTCGGTGTAAGTAGCGCTCTCGCCTCGGGCGCTCCCCGCTCGCTCCCCGCGGTGGCGGGACCCGCTCGGGCACCCGCCGTCCCGCCGGGGGGGTCCCGGCGGTGCCCTCCCGCCCCGCCGTGACGGGAGAGGGCAGCGCGGTGGGGCCGGGTGTGGGCTCCGGCCAGCCGCGGCCTGCACCGGGCTGGGGCGGCCTGCGGCGGGTGCTGGGCCGGGCTCGCTCCCGCCCCATCCGGGCGCCGCCGGGCTGGCACCTGCCCCCTGCCTCGCTCCTACGCCCCGGGGACACCTGTCATGCGGTGCGGAGCCGCCTCAGCCCAGCCCAGCAGGCTCCGGCACGGCGCCGGGGCTACCGGAGGCGCAGCGGGGGCTAGTCCCGGCCTCGCCGCCCTCTCTGGCACGCGGCGCTCCGGGGGAGCCGGTGCCACCCGGAGCGAGCGCGGGTCAGGCAGCCGGAGGTCAGGAATGCGGGAAGCGTCCCGGCCCCTCGGTGGCAGAGAGTGCCTCGGGACGAGCCTCGTGAAGGTGCTGCAGCCCAGCCCGGTGACAGCGGCGGCACCGCGCCGTGCTCGGGGGGCGGAGGGGGCGAACGGAGCGGCGGTGGCGCCGGCGCGTGGAGGGTGCCCCCCAGGGCGGGTTTGGGCAGAAAGTGCTTGCCATTATGTGTGTTACCGCTGTCGCAGTGATTAACCCTCGTAAGAGGGAAGTAGTGAAATATTTATAAATATAAAATAGTGATTTAACAAAGTTAGTAGCAAGCAGGACAGCGCTTCAGAGTACCCTTGATTATTTACTGCATAGAGGACAGGGTGCCCCGATGTCTGCAGGTGACTGGGTGGTTTTCTGGTGCTGTAGTGACCTGTAGAAGATAGGAAGGCATGTCCTCATGAGGAGGGGGAGTGAGATGCTTACCATGCACCCAATGGTGTGGAGAGTGCTGGGAGCAGGGTGACCTGCTGTGGGGAGCGGAGTCCGGACAGGCTGGCTTTGGTGCTGGGCCAAGCCTGAGGAGGATTGTCTAGACTGTGTTCATTCTTCTGGATCTTGTTAACTTGGTCTCCACTGACTTTTTTTTGGGTTCCAATGCTAAGCCATATGTAGCTCTGCTGCAGGTTGCCACCTGCAGAAGAAACTGCCTTTTAACTTATCTAGATGGCCAAGTTACTAACGAGCAAACTGAATAGCTGGCTACCAATTTGTGTGTTGTTAACCTAGAAGCAACAAATCAGTAATGCCTGTTTCCCTGTAGGAGTAAAGAAACAGGATGATTTTGGCCTGATTGTAAGTGAAGTCTTATAATTGCTTAATCATTGTCAGGTGGAAAAAGGATTAGCTCTGGGTTTGAATCTGGAGCCCTGTGTGACTTAAGTGTTAAGCTTATTGCTAACTAAATTATGCATATTTGTGTGAGTGTAGGTGCTCTGCTCAAGGCCTGCCACCTATCACTGTTCGTTGTGGCACACCAGAATTTTGAATCTGCTTCTCTGGTAGTAGCTGGAAAGGAGAGGGAGGAGGGTGTTGTTTGGGGAATGTGTGACTGTTTAAACCTGAAGGTTTAATCAGCATCATACAGTGCCTAAATACATCTTTAGGTGTGTCATGTGGGAAGAAAGAGGCTGTTATTTAGATTAGTTCTAAATTAAGTTCAGCTGCATGCAGTTAGCCAATTCAGGTAGATTGTGAAAACTCGTAAAATTCAGTTGCAGTTTGTCAAGCAGGCATGATGTTCTGAAAATCCAAATCTTAGAATCATAGAATTGTCTAGGTTGGAAGGGACCTTAAAGATCATCTAGTCCAACCATAAACCTAACTCTGACAAAAAAATAAATAAGAAATAGGAAATAAAAATTACTAAACCATATTCTTGAGGACCATGTCTACCTGTCTTTTGAACATCTCCAGGGATGGTGCCTCAACCGCTTTCCTGGGCAGCCCATTTCAAGGCTTGATAACCCTTTCGGTGAAGAAATGTTTCCTAATATCCAATCTAAACCTCCCCTGGTGCAACTTGAGGTCATTTCCCCTTGTCCTATATCCTGTGACTTGGGAGACGAGACCAACCCCCACCTCTCTACACCCCCTGCTTTAGGCAGTTACAGAGTGCGATAAGGTCTCCCCTCAGCCTCCTCCAGACTGAACAACCCCAGCTCCTTCAGCTGCTCCTCATAAGGCTTACTCTCCAGACCCCTATCTTGATACCACTTTAAAGCAAGGTTCTGACTAGCTAAAATATTCTCCTGGGAAAACTGTTAGGATGGAGGGTAAAAATCCTTAGAAGTGAATTAGGAAGCAGTACAATGAGTAGGAAGAGTTGTCTATTTCCTGGTTCTGTGGAAAGGCTTTCTTGCAATAGATGTTAATGACCATATTCCAGTACCCTTAAAAATGTTTGCAAAGTATTCTGTGATGCTTCTTGAACATCACTACTTGATAAATGCTATATCCTCATTTTAACAGCCTTTTAAATGCAGTTTTAGGTAAATGCAAGTCTGTTTTGTTTACATGGTTAGTAAGCCTTGCCTGATGGGCTTGCTTTTGGAGTAAGCTTATATATTGAATTTGGTCTGGAGAATGCTGTGGCCTGGGAAAGCTTGCAGCTGCTGTAAGATATACAAATAAAGGCAAATAAGGATGGGGTACAGTGAAAATGAAACATGACATCAACCTCCTTCCTCCCTCTGATAACACTGTGCAACTTCCTTCAATAACTAGTCTATAATTTGCTTTCTGCTAAGCATTTGCACTATGGTGCAAAAAAACTTAAAATACAAAGGATGAACCGTCTTAATACTTCTTAAGAATGACCTAAATTTTAGAGTTCATGAGGTGGAGTCCACAATGATAAACTGCACAAGGAACCAAGAGAAACCCATCTGTGGAGCACAGTCCTGTGGCTGGGGGACTGTGGGGGTGGTGTGCTTGAGAGAGGTGTGAGTGGTGGTAGGAGAGACAGAGCTGTTGTGCCTAAAAAGGGCTTGGAGGGGTGTTGGGCAGAGATACAATCAAAATCATGAGGGCCTGTGTCAGCTCGTAACCCTTCACTAATAGAAATGTCTGTCTGAAGGGGAGATGCTGAAAGAAATGAGGATGGGATGCTGCTGACCCCTCCTTTGCAGACCCTGTTGTCAGTCTGATGTTCTGGGATCATAAGAATTAGTTTTTCCCTGGCTGCTAGGGAATCTTGAGCTGACTGGTGGAAATTCACTACTCTGTAATCTGACAATTCAGAGGCATTATTCTGACATACTTCCACAAAGCCAATGCAAGCTGCAGCTGCGTCTAAAAGGAGTGGGGACAGGAATAGATTGTGTCCTCCTTTGCTGCCTCGTGGTGAGCAAGGTGCACTGGAACATCTCTGCTGGTTTTCATAAGATGCTTGGTGGTGGTCATTCCTTGGGGAGGGAGTAAGTTTTCTTGTGTCCTCAGAAACAGAGAAAGGATCTTTTGTTTTAATTTTGAGGTGAATGCTCATTTGAGGGCTCAAGTCTAGATTGTAACATTTGCCTGGAAGTCAGGCAAATATGAAGAGTAATAGTGCTGGTAAAGCAGTGGCTGAAGTGACAACTACATCTTTATTTAGACTGAGACTAGTTAAATTCCATTATTAGATTCCTTTTTGCTTGCAAAGTGCTTTAAAATATGCATAATTTCAGCTGCTCTTGCTAATCAGTGGAGCTCTTAAAGGGGGGGGTGGGGAGCACTTCTGTAAAAAAAAAAGGCCAACACCCACAACACAACAAAAGAAACCGGAGCCATTTTGAACTGGGGAACTATTGCTTACTCTTACCTTTTCTGCAGAGCTATGTAGTTTGCTAGTATGATAAATACGCATACAAACTTCATCAGAAATGTCGGTCTGCTACTTGGAGCTAAACATCTTGTAGTTGAGTAGTAAGTTGCTGCTTGTTCTGATTGTCTCAATATTTTGAGCCTTTCAGCAAGTGGTATTCTAGATACTGGTTTACTAAGCCTTAGCTGTTACTGTTGTAGAGTCTGCAAGCTAAGATGAAATTCATGTCATCATGTGAAACTTCATAGTATTGCTATGGAAGTAAAATTCAGTGAATTTATGTTGCTTGAACATGATGTGCAAATGGATCTGGTGTTGAAAAATTTTGGAGAACATGGCATTCTCCTTTTGTGGAGAGGGCACTGATGTACTTCATATGAGCATCTCAATGTAATACCCTGACTTGCTTTCCTGGAGAGATTTCAAGTAACTGAACTAGGCTAATAATTTTTACCAACTTTAGTAGCTGTTTTACTCTTCTTGCTCTGCCAAAGTATTATTAAAATGCTTTAGTGAAAACATAGAATCTTATACTGTTCAGCATCAAATATGAAGTGTTTTTGTACAGAATCTCTAATTCTGTTATGAAAGGCGTTTTCTCTGCAGTATATTTTGTTAGGTCTTTAATAGGGGTATAGGGAGACATTCTGAGGATGATGTGCCTAAGAATTGAGTTAAATACCTGTATAACTTGAATGTGGACAGGGTGTAACTGCCAAGTGACAATGCAAATAGAATGACATCTTCTACTTCAGTGGCTTTGTCTTAATTCCAAAATGCTTCTCAAAAGGAACTGAAAACTCACAAGTCTGTAAAAGGTACCTCACTTGACCATCTCTAAAGGCAAACACCATCAATGACAAAATAAACTACTCATTGTTTTCAGTACCAAAGGTCCTATGACCAGTGTTTTGGAGAAAAGTGATGTGCTTAGATTCCATGGAATTGTTTTTCACTTTAGCTATCC